GGAGCAAAAACCATTTTTGGACTGCAAAAATTGCCCAGAGCAGCACGTGCGGCGGGTCTTCCTGCACGTGCGGCAGTTCATGCCCAAAACCAAATTTGAATCTGCTAAAAAGGCACGTAGTCCCGCAGGTGTGGCCCTGTTTCCCGTATGCGCGGGGACAGCTCTGTTCAGCCACCTTTGAATAAGCATATCTTTTGCATCTAGACTCAGTTTTGAGTGATTCTTGAGCCTAAAATCAAGCCCCAGAAGTCTAGTTTCCAATGGTGGTGGTATCACTCCAAAATTCTAAGTATAGAAATTGATATGACCAAATGAGGGAGAGTTGCTCATTTTCTGCCTACCAGTTTTGTACCATTTCTTCGTCTGACCCATTTTGCTATCGATTCCTCCTATCTTCTGAGACATGGATTATGAATTATTAAAGACTAATGAGTTTAGAACCGATATGACTAATTGATTAAAGAGTAAAGTAAGGAATCAGGTATGTTCTTATAATGCTATGTGCATTGTGTTTATAGGTCCAGACGAGGACATCGTTCCACCGCTGTCAGAAACCTATCACTGTGAGTAGTAGTAGTGTAACGATATGTTATACTTACTTATGGTGCTTATGATTTATATATGGTTGTTGAGAATGACATATACTATTGACATTGTGCTCTGATTGAATTAACAGACATAATTGAACAATGGCACTGTTATGGACCTAAGGTCGTTCTGTCTCTGTTAATAAAAGTGGGCCTGAGGCCGTTATGATGTAAATTGATTATGATTCATGGCCAAAGGCCAAGGGAGGTAGTGTACATGTCGATGTTCTACGTACCCTACAATTTGTGGACAGCTGTCGTTATGTGGGCCTAAGGCCGTTCTGTATTATCTGTGGGCCTAAGGCCATTCTGTATCTTATATGGGCCCGAGGCCGTTCTGTATTATCTGTGGGCCTAAGGCCATTCTGTATTTTATATGGGCCCAAGGCCGTTTTGTATTATCTGTGGGCCTAAGGCCATTCTGTATCTTATATTGGCCAGATGCCGTTCTGTATCACATGTGGGCCGGAGGCCGTTTTGAGATATAATTATGAACAAGATCTGTGTATGACTTTATGAGCTTATTTACACTCTTAAAGACTATGCTCAATTAATTAACCTCCTTACATTATTATTATTCACTGAGCCTTGCTCACCCCGTTATTATATATATTTATGTAGGTGAGCCATCGGGGATTGATACTAGAATTGTACTGAGGTTCGCCTGTCTGCCAAGTCACCTGGGGTATGTCTCCGTGTGGAGGCCTTAATTTCTGTTGGGAGTCATATAAATTGTTTGTCTTATGTAAGTGTGTGTGAGATCTATATAAATTCTGTGATTGTATATGTAAGTCTGGGAATGTATTTAAATGCTTAAATCTAATAAGCCATCATGTGGGCACAGAAGGCATCCTCCATACATGTGTATAGAGGGATTGCATCAAGCCTCTAGCTTGTGTAACAAGTTTGAGGAATGAAATTCTATATAAGGGAGCCTCCTCCCTCTTGTTTAGGGTTTAGAATTTGTTTAGGGATAAACATATCCCTCTCTCTCTATATTTCTCCCCCTCTCTCTATATTTGTACTAGTTTGTGCCTCAAAGTGTATTTTCTCTTCACTTTTGCACTACAACACCTAGTTAAACACCTTTACTCTTGAGCTGAGGTTCTTGGAGGTTGTATTTGAGTGGTTTTATCTTGGTTTTGTCTCATAAACTTGTTGTTATTGCTGTGCTTCAAGGGTGAGTCTCATATCCTCTTTAAAGCTTTATTTTCATTGCTTATTTGGTCATCCTTGCATATTGTTTTAGGCCTTTCTTTCAACTACAAAAAGCTTTGTTTTCAAGTGTTTTAGATGGTTGTTTGAGACCTCTTTGGTATTGAGGGTGTTCTACCTTCCTATGTGCCTTATTTGCTTAGGCTTGGAGCCATCCTTTAAGGCCTTTGAGTTCATCTTTGTTTGGCCTTTTCACCACTGAATTCCAAAGGAATTTGAGTGGTGGAAAATAGGTTTTGAGCCCCAAAATGGGAGGGGGTGGTCCCATCTCCTCTAATAGCATGTGTTAAGAGTTTCTGTAGTACTTAAAGAATCTATTTTTTTGGAAATGTTATGCAGATTTGATTTGGTAAGGTAAGAAAACATTAATAACAAACCTACATAAGTGATTTGTGACATTCGACTTTCGGACCCACCTAATTAATTATCAAGGAGATATATACGTTGTGTGGAAATTACTATCTGGACTAAGGCAATTAAGAAATTTGTGGACTAAGGTTTGCATTTGATACTAAAGTTATGTTAGACGTTTAATTTTCCCTAACGTTATGAAAAACAAAAGAAATTTGAGGTTGAACTGTGTTTATTGGGAATTATGTGAATTGAAATTATTGTGATTGAGATATTTGGTGATCAACAATAAGTATGGAACCAATACATGCATCAGATACGATGCTCAGCCTACTTTGAAGCTATTAGAACCAGAATATAGTAGCTTTATGGTTAATGTGTTTTATGCTTGATGTCATGATGTTGACTTTAAGATCCTCCAAGCAAACATGGATTTTAAATGATTATTACTTTACTGTAATTTGGGAATTGTGACCATTAAGGTTTGATCCGTATTTGATTTTACTAATAATTTACTCTGAACATGTAATTCCTTGATATGGGATTTGAGTTGCTATTTGGAGTCTGTTAGAAATCTGATTTGAATTGATAAGTTTAATTCTGATTATTTGAGCCTTCATTGAAGTTGAGGATTTGAGCCTGAATTTGAATATTCAAAATTTAGACCTCACTTATCCTATCTGTTACGGAAGTAATGCGCTTGAGGATACTTCAAAGTACTGAAACCATTATTCTGAATATTAATTTATCAGTGAGCAAGGGTTACAAAGTCATTAATGTAGAACTCATTTGTTTATTCTGGGCCTAATTGTTGTAGTATGTTTGTGCCATTTGAAACCTGATTGAGTAGTGAATGTTTCCTTAACCTTTGAGGAATTAGGATAATGGGGGTTGTTTGTGAAACTGAAGGATTTGCATTATGTTTGATAGCTTATGAGTCGCATGCAATCGAATACTTGAAGTGAATTCATTTTTGAATACCCTTAAGTTGTTATATTATTTGGAAGGTATGATTTGTGGATCAATAAATTAAAATGTACGAGGGTTGTGAATAGTGAGATGATGATTTGATGTTATTGAGTATTATTATCAATTGGGTTACCAATTAGCCAGTAAAGATGAATTACTTCTGATTCTTGGAGCAAACTTCATTGAAATTGACTGTATAGGATTGTGAATGGCTAAATAATTGAGAAATGTTGTATATCCAAGACGAAACTAGACTTGTGGCAGGGTGAATCAAGTTTTGAGGACCAAACTTCTTAAGGTGGGGAGAATGTAACGACCCCAAAATCTGTATTCGAAATTACTTTTATGTCCTTGTGGGTTAATGCATTTTAATTTAATGATATCTGTTCGAATTGAGGAATTATCTATTGAGTTACGGTTTTAAAATTGAAATTACCGACCTTTATGGGTTCAAAAATCAAATTGAGTACTTGGAAATGTTAATGGGAATTTTTAGAACTATTTGGGAAAATTAATTGGAAATCTAATTTGTCTGATCCATTAATGCACGTTCTAGTGGTTAACTTGGTACTACAAATTGAAGGCCTTAGAGGCTTCAGAAACCAGAACAGAGGACATATTTATGATCAGCACAATTTTTAGAGTCACCTGGGAAGTTTAATTGAAATTTGATTTCGTGCGATTCGTAAGGCCGCGTTTGGCTCTCCCTATTGTGTTAAGCCTATGTGTGTGTATATTTATATATATAGATGTGCCTTTAAGTTATTGAACTCATCTATTTGAACCTAAAAATATCTAAAGAAGAGAGAGAGGAAACCGTGAAAGGGTGAGAGAGAAGAGAGACAAAGCTTCTCAATATCCATGGTGGCTTTGAGGATGATTGAAGGGAATTGAAGAAAGAGAAAGAAGATCACCCATGGAAACTTGGGGAAAATTGAAGAGAGCTAAGAGATAGACAAAGATTGAGCTAGGCATGATAATCTATCTTGAAACCTTGTGTTTAAAATCATAAAGATCTTGGAAGATTTAAACCCATTTGGGGTTAAGGTTTTATGTATGTATTTGCTTGAACTAATTTGAGGAATTAGAAATTGAGTTCTATAATTTTGTTTATGAGTGGAGCTCAAGCTCATGGACATCACGAAATGAACTTTAGATTATGCAAGAATCGAGTGAATTTGTGGGTTTGTGGGTTGTGTTTTAAGAACCTTGAAGATCATGAAAGATTAAGCACTAATCTTGAACTTTGAGGCAAAGATTGATTTGTTTGAGATGAAATTACACTTGGTTGATGTTAGTTTATCATGTTATGGGGCAATTTTACATGTTTTTGAGTGATTTATGTTAGAAACCAAGCTTAAAAATGGAAAGACCAAGTGTTGGAGCAAAAACCATTTTCGGACTTCAAAAATTGCCCAGAGCAGCACGTGCGGCGGGTCTTCCCGCATGTGCGGCAGTTCATGCCCAAAACCAAATTTGAATCTACTAAAAAGGCACGTAGTTCCGCACGTGCGGGGACAGCTCTATTCAGCCACCTTTGAATAAGCATATCTTTTGCATCCATACTCCGTTTTGAGTGATTCTTGAGCCAAAAATCAAGCCCCGGAAGTATAGTTTCCAATGGTGGTGGTCTCACTCCCAAATTCTAAGTACAGAAATAGATATTCCCAAATTAGTGAGAGTTGCTCACTTTCTGCCTACCGATTTTGTACCATTTCTTCGTCTGACCCATTTTCCTATCGATTCCTTCTATCTTCTGAGACAGGGATTATGACTTATTAAAGACTAATGAGTTTAGAACCGATATGACTAATTGATTAAAGAGTAAAGTAAGGAATTGGGTATGTTCTTATAATGCTATGTGTATTGTATTTGTAGGTCCAGACGAAGACATCGTTCCACCGCTGTCAGAAACCTATCACTGTGAGTAGTAGTACTGTAACGATATGTTATACTTACTTTTGGTGCTTATGATTTATATATGGTTGTTGAAAATGACATATACTATTGACATTGTGCTCTGATTGAATTAACGGACATAATTGAACAATGGCACTGTTATGGACCTAAGGTCGTTCTGTCTCTGTTAATAAAAGTGGGCCTGAGGCTGTTATGATGTAAATTGATTATGATTCATGGCCAGAGGCCGAGGGAGGTAGTGTATATGTCGATGTTCTACCTACCCTACAATTTGTGGACATCTGTCGTTATGTGGGCCTAAGGTCGTTCTGTATTATCTGTGGGCCTAAGGGCATTCTGTATCTTATATGGGCCCGAGGTCGTTCTGTATCACATGCGGGCCGGAGGCCGTTTTGAGATATAATTATGATCAAGATCTGTGTATGAGTTGAGAAGCTTATTTACACTCTTAAAGGCTATGCTCAATTAATTAACCTCTTTACATTGCTATTATTCACTAAGCCTTGCTCACCCCGTTATTATGTATATTTATGTTGGTGAGCCATCGGGGATTGACACTAGAATTGTACTGAGGGCCGCCTGTCTGCCAAGTCACCTGGGGTATGTCTCCGTGTGGAGGCCTTAATTTGTGTTGGGAGTCATATAAATTATTAAGTCTTATGTAAGTGTGTGTGAGATCTATATAAATTATGTGATTGTATATGTAACTCTGGGAATGTATTTAAATGCTTAAATCTAATTAAGCCATCATGTATGCACAAGCTCAATGGATGTTGTCTTTTATTGATATTGCTTCTGCTTAAAGCCCCGCATGTGGTTAAATATTATTCTAAAATTCTGTTTTGAGGCCTATGTACAGGCCAGTCATGGACCAAACTTTTAGGGGCGGCTTTGGGTCGTGACAGGACGCGTTCCCGATGTTTACGCCACCTCTCGATTAGAAGCGTTTGGAATGTGTTCCGATGCTTATACCACCTTGTTTTGGTTAGAAACATTGGGACATACTCCGATGTTTATACCACTCTCTGGTGTTTACACCACTCTCTTTTCTCTTCTCATGTGTGACGCGCTAGGATGTGTTTTTGTTTGAGACCTTGGGTACGCCCGACAGTTGCTCTTAGCCTTTCCTAAATGAGACGCAGTTAAGATTGCATAATTTTCTTACATCCTTTCTGCATGAAATGCGGTTCGGCTTGTGATTCTCATGCGTGGCGTATTTATTTCTTACTTCTTCTCATGTATAAGATTACTGTACCTCGTTGGTTTGCTTGAAATATGGCATTATCTTTGCATAACACTTGCATGTAAATGCTTTCTTACAGTCTCATTGCATGATCATAAGTTATGTTTTTACATTGTGCATATCATTTGCATTTTGTCCTATCCTGCGGGCGCAACTATGTATTGTTATCTTGAATGTTTGTCTAAGTCTTGCGGCCTTGTCAAAATGGGTCGTCTCGAGGCTTTGACATTCACTCACGTCATTTTGTGACTCTGAGTTCTGTCAAAGAGGGGCAACTGTAGACACCCCATTTTTGACCGTCCTCAAGACTTGGATGTTCTTGCAGGTACATCTGATGATGAGTTTGATTGCTCGTCGAGTGCTCGAAGTCTGTGGCGAAGCGCCACAGGTTTGAGTTTTCCAAACCCTGCATCCATTCTGTTTCATTTTTGGACCTTGTGTAGGCCATTTCAGCTTGTCGTTTTTGATGCGCTACCGGCCATGGATTTTGTCCTGCCGGATGTGTCCTGCCGGCCATCAATGAGCCCCTGCCGGCCATCATTGATGGCCGGCCGGCCACCAGTGTATCAATAGATATTTTCTGATATTTTGTGCCAACTATTTGCACAGATTGAGCCATCTTCTTGCACGTGTATGGCTGGATCTCTTTGAGGGGATTTTGTATCTTCTATATATAGAGGCCCCCTCTTGCATGTGTGGGGGTTGGAAATTTTGAAGACAAAAATTTCTCTCTCTGTCTCTCTCTAGAATCCTCTCTCTAAATATTTTGTGCCTTATAGTTGGAATTCTCTACACTCTTGCATATAAGCCCTTGATCAAACTTGATCATCATTGAGTAAAGGTTGCTCGAGGTCCTATTTGAGTTCTAGAATAAGATATTGGCTTGATTTTGGTGCTTAAATTGCATCTTGTCTTCAAAAGGTAGAACATTTGTGTTTTAAGCTTATTTTAAACACTTGTTTTGCCATCTTTGCATACTATTTTGAGGCTGGTTTTGACCTCTGAAATCTCTGTTTTTATGGTCTAAAATGGTGGTTTGAGGTTTGATTGGAGTTACGGGTAGTCTATTCTTCTTGATACTTGGTTATTAAGTTATTGTGCCATCTTTCAAAGCTTTCTACAACAACTTTTGTGGCTCTTTTAACCACTGAATTCCAGAGGAATTTTAGTGGTAAAAACTATGTTTTGAGATCCAAAATGGGAGGGGGTACCCTCCCCTCCTTGTGTCTTTTTTGTAAGCCTAAATAGCCTAACATGTGAGCATGATTTTCTAGCATTTTGTACCTTAATCTCAGCATGTATTTGATCCTTTTTTGGCTAATTTTAGCTCTGTTTTGAGCAGGTTTGGTCAATTGAGGCTTGCTTTGTATGCTTGTAGTGTAATTGTGCTTAATAGTCTAGTTTGTGTTATGTGTTAGCCTCCCATTCTAGCTATTTTTAGCTTATTTCAAGCATGTTTTAGGACTCCTTGTAGACACCCCATTTTTGACCGTCCTCAAGACTTGAACGTCACCGTTTGAACACCCGGTGATTATCCATGTTTATGTTCGTTTGGAGTTTCTGGAGGTCTCGACTTGCGCGCCTTGCCTCAGGATCTCTCGACTCGACTGTTTAGTGTCTGGTTTTGCACCAAACACTTGTGTTTTGCCTTGGAGGGGCAGGGAATACCTTGTGAGGCATCCCCACACGCCACCGGCCTTGGCCAGAGGCCACCGGCTGGCATTTTGTTTCCAATGGCAATTTTGAGTAGCCGACTACTGTTCATCTACTTTATACAAATATTTTGTGCCAGCTGTGATAGCTGGCACCTACTCTGTTTTTCTCCATACACGTGTATGGAGGGATTTCCCTCTAAGCAAGCTTGTTGAATAAGCTTTGCAAGAGGGACTTCTATAAGAGGAGGGGTCTTCTCCTTGTTCTAGGTTAGCAATTTTGGAAGCAAAACCAGTGCTTAGACATAGATACACCATATCTCTCTATATTTCCCTCTCTCTCCTCCCTTAGTGTGTGTTTGGTACCCTAAAAGTGTATTTTGCCTTACTTTTGCACTAATACACACACCATTACACCTTGCTCCGAGGTTGAGAGGCTTGGGGGGTTGATTCTTGAGTTTTTGGACTGATTTTGATCAAAAGAAGAGGGCTGGACCAATTGTTCTTCAAAGGATCTTCAAGGGTAATCACTTTGCTTTAGTTTCCCCAAACTTGCACTAGTTTTTTACCTATCTTGCTTGCTGATTTAGTTTTTGTGCATAACATAAAAAAGGCTTATATTTTCATGCTTAAGAACTTTCATTAAGGGTCTTTTGTGGTTTGAGTTCAAACTCACCCTCTTAGGCCTTATTTGGCCTTTTTGGTGCTTCTTTGTGAGGTTTTGTTTGCTTGAGTGTTTTGGTCTTCTCACCACTGAAAACCAGTGGATTTTCAGTGGTGAGGAAGGTCGTTTGAAGTCTTGTATAGGGGAGGGACACCCCTCTCCCTTCATTGCCTTATTTCCTTGCCTTTTGGCTAAAAGGGCAACATGTATGCTTGATTGGTTTTGGCCATATTTCAGAGCTTTTTGGGTGTCTTTAGGTCACATATGATCTCTGTTTTGGGTTGGATTTGTACCCATTTGCATGCTTAACATACTTGCTTTACATTCCTCTATTTGGCCTAGAAATGCATCTTGTGTTTAGGCCATGATTCTTGCATGTGTTAGCCTAATTTCATGAAGATATTGGCATTATTTCACCATGTTCAAGGTCTGTTGGCCATTTGTTTCAGTCATGCTTGCCATGTTTGGTGTCCTCTCTTTGTGTTTTGGCTTGTGAGCCTTGAGCATATCGACCTCTAGCATGTGTAGCTTGGACCATCTTCATGATTTGGCATCATCTAGGGTCGTATTTCAGTCCATAAATCATACTTGTATGCTTGCATATGTGACCTCTTTCATGCTTTGAGGATATGCCCTTTTATGCCTTGAAATGAGCTTTGGTGCATGTATCTCATTGGAGCCACTTAAATTGCCATATTAGTGGGTTTTGGAGTCCATTTTTGCATGCTAAAATTCTGTTTTTTTACTTGTCTAATTCATGCCATGTTTGGTCATATTGGTAGAAGTAAAATGCCCCTTTTTGTGCCTTAGCCTTAGGTCCATTGGCTTGCATGTTGGCATGAGAGTTTGTCCATCATTTTGGGCACTTCTTGACACTGTTTTGAGGTGAATTAAGGTCTACCCCTTTACCATTTTAAGCCACCATTGCATGCTTGTTTCATGTTTGTTGCATGGTTGCTTCATTAGGTGTTGTAGCATGATGACCCTATTGCTTAAATTGTCCATGTTTGCGTTGCATTTGCATCTTGCATGCCTAGCATTGCATACTTGCCATAGTACTTGCATGGCATTTGGCATGCCTTGCATCTTGATATCATGTTGCATTTTGAGCCATGTTTGCATAACATGCATTGCATTGCTTGGTTTGGGGTGTCAAACCAAGTGTGAGGGTTAAGGAGCGTTCATACTATAAGTGATGCAATGTGTCTTAACTCTCGGTCACCGGGGCCTTTGACTTCGACATGATAAGGTCTCGGTCCTCATTTGTGTGTCGCATGCATTTTTACATCAACTGGCAAGCTTGATCCCTTGGGCTATCATGCACCATTGATGGCTCAAGGATCGAGGGCCATGCTTCCTTGAGTTTAACACATGATGGGAAACATGACCATGCTCACATGTGCCTGAAATCCCATGCCATATGCTGTATGTCCTCTATTGCTGTCAAAACTG